TTAAGTACAGTGAAGTTGAGCACTACTCCGAGCCGTTGGAGACCCAAGCTGATGCTGGAAACCGTTATAAGTGCTCCCCATCTGAATGGTGGCAATACCATTTTGATAGTGTACGCAGAGGACACTGACCTTTCCGGTCTGAGACACAGGGATGTCGGCGTATAATTTTTTAGCTAAGAAGAGGAAGAGAGAGAGGTTGGTCCAGCGATGAGCGAAGACCCTTTGTAGACCCTTTCATAAAATTAGTTTCAGACATAACCACTCAAGTATCTATATGTATGCCACGTTCGTACTTATTGATGTATGTGTGTATGTACTTGCCCAGTGGGAAAATGTAGTGTATAGTAATCGATAAAATAATCAGTAAAACAACAGTTTTCGCATCCAAAAATGCATAATTTTTCCCACGGCGATGTCCTAGGAAAAGGGGGCATTTATTTCAGCATTACAGTAATGCAGGAATGAAGCGATTTATATGAATTTTTTTGACTTTTTGGATACATTAGAATGCTGATTACATATTAAACAGTAATAGAATCTAGAACTCAAAGGAAATACATAACATTATTTATCACGCATGTAATGCATTACTACTTTTCCCACAGGGTGGTTTCACTCAAAAACCTCTACTAGCACAGCCAGCTACAAATGTATGTACTAGGTATGGAAGTTTGCTCAATTCACTGTTTCCGCTTCCAAATGATAAGAACGTGCTCTTAAACACATGGTTCTATAGTTTTAGATATGTACCTAAGTACGTGATATTTTGAGATGGAACCACACCCTGGAATAAGTCTAAACAGATCAAGGACTGAAGGTTTAAATTTTCACTTTTTGGTCAAAAATTAATCATCTTACATGTAATACATACATATATCGTCAATTTCTTTGCAAAAAGGCCGTTTAATTTTAATGGAGAATAAAAAAAAATATTTCTTTAAGGCTTTTGGCTGAAGTTTAGGCTTACAAAATCTCATTTTTGCGATTTAGGAAGTTTTTGCAAATGGTCGGTGAACGATTGCGCAAAGGTGTCGACGATTTGTAATTCTTGTTTTCAGAGGACTAAAGTAAAATTTATGGAGATTTTTTTGCGTAGAACTCTTCAATCCCTAACTCCAATTGTAGTGAGTCGCTTTGACTTTGATGTAGTAGATTTACATATGTATAGATAAGTCCATTAAAAATGGGATTTAAGCCAAACTATAACTAAAATTTATTATGAGCCATTGACCTATCCAGCTAAAACTAGCTACAATAACAAGGCGATAAGTCTTATTAATGCCTACATTCATAGCTTCATATATATACTTACTTGGGTATGTTTATGTGCATACATATATCAAATCAAATCTGTACTTTTCAATATGCATATGTATGTATGTATGTACAAATGTAAGTGCATAAGTTAAGAAATGTATACTTTATTTCTCGCTTATCAACTGGCACTTCCTTTGACTGAAACTAATTCAAAACGTTCAACTCAAGAAAACTTATAAGACTTCATTTAAACATTATAAGTAGTTGTATGTGTGAATGTGAACATTAAATAGGACAGATTAAAAAGCGGCACACAAATGCTTTAACGACGACGCACAAGGCATAAAATGCTCAAGAATACGTGCAGACACACTTTTGTATAAACTTGCAAAGCAATTGACAGCAGACCTGTTGAGACTTTTTTGGTGGCCAGGGTGGTCATGGACTATAGTGGAAATTTATACGCATGAGCGGTACAAATTCTACTGGATGGCTTAGGAAACTGTGCGCCAAATTTTGAAACGGTGAGCTGCGCTGATGAAAGTTTTTGTAAGACAATTGAAAGGCACCTACTACTAGATAGTTTGAAAGATTTTGTTTATTCTGGCACGAAAGTTTTACAAAAAGAAGCTTTCTTGCCATTTTCATAGTGAAAAGCTCTTTTGACAGATAGCACTTGCATTGTTCGCGCTGCTCCAACAGTGCCTACATATGGCAGAGTGAACAAAACGATAGCATGCCATTCGAGAGAGCTGAGGTTCGATTCCTCTCCAGTGGAATTTTTTAAATTTTTTTATTTAATATAATTTTTTTTAACTTGGATTTTGCTTAAAACAAAATTCAACCAAACATTTTATTAATTTCATTTTATTTTTGGATGCTTATTTTCTTTTTCTTTTTTAATTGAATTTTTAGATATCATTATATTAAAAAAATGTGTTTTTTTTATTTAATTTAATTTTTAGAAGCTTATCTTTTTCCTTTTTTAAGTTAATTTTCTTTTAATTTTAAAATCTTATTGTTTCAAAAAGAAAACTGTATTATTTTCTTTTTAATTTCATTTGATTCTTAGGAATCTATTATTTCTTTCTTTATTTAATTTTCTGTTAGTTATTAGATTTTATTTTTTCTAAGATATAAGTATTTTTTCTTAATTCCATTTCGTTTGTAGGATTGTAGATTTAATTGTTTCGAAAAGAAGAAAATATTTTTTTAATTTCATTTAATTTTCAGGAACTACTTTTTTCCTCTTTTGATTTTTATGTTATACTGTTTTAAAAATAAAAATAGTTTCTTTCTAATGAAATTTTCTTTAAGTTTTAGATTTTATTTTTTTAAGAAAAAAGTATTTTTTAATTTCATTTAATTTTTGTGAACAAATCATTTCCTTTGTTAATTTTTACGTTATCTACATAGCTTATTTTAGAAATAAATTTTGTTTTTTTTAATTTTATTTAACTTTTAGGAGCTTATTATATTATTTTTTTTTTCATTTTCAAATTAATTTTTGGGTTTTATTGTTTTAAAAGAAACATTTTTTTTAGTTCAAAGATAGTAGCCAGAATTAATTCTAACGGGTGATTTTTTTGAGGTTAGGATTTTCATGCATTAG